CACTTTGTAATACTACTGTTTCATGGTTTAATTAATTTATGACCATTAACTTTATTATTATTATTATTATTATTATTATTATATGTATATCTGTGTATGTGTATATGCGTGTGTGTGTTTGGGTACAACTACAAAAGTTTAAGCTTTGAAATCTAGAGACTGAAATACACAGTTGAAAAGCTGTTTACCCCTAGAATATTTTTTATGCAGGTAATATAGGAGCAGAAATTTGAGAGTAATGAAACAATTATAGTTGCGCTAAGTCCTCTATGAGGGTCGAATTCAAATTCTGGCCTAGTATGCTGCGTTTATTTTCGCACGTATGAATTCGGTGTTGCTCGGTGTAGGAGGAGGACAATTCTGAATAAAAAAAAAAAACGTGGCGAAACCATTGGGAAAGCACACATTATTTTCCCCATTCAATCATGACCGGAAGCTGTGGAGAGCCACGATCAACTATAACCTAAAAGAAACATGCAAAATGATAATCAGTAACTCTTAATAGATGACCAATATATAAAGCTTATAGATGCGCGCGCGTGTGTGTGTGTTTTAACGGCATATCAAATTCAGTGGGTTATTTAATGCTGACAAGATTTTTATTGCTAGTAATATTTTTTTTTTCAAAATTTATTGCTGTTAATATTTTTTCCCCAAAAATGCATTGCTGGAAATTATTGTTTTTTCAAAAATGTATTGCTGGTAATAATTTTTCCTCAAAAATGTATTACTGATATTAAAACCTATTTTTACATTATTCATAGTGTTTGTCCCTAGTATGGGGATTAATTATTTAATAGTTGGGACCCTAACAGGTGCTACCAACCTGGGTCAAGGTAAACCTGGGAACGCAAGCAATTAAGAGGTGGTTCCACGCCTCTCAAAACCTCCTGAGCAGAGGCCTTGCTGTCGGATGTAGTTCATCGTTATACCTAGGACGTGTGAGTGCGTGTGTGTTTGGGGTGTGATGGAGTACGGCTCGGATGCATGTCGGGTTCATTACATTCACTTACGCGCAAATACTCTTTGGAAAGCTATGTATCCATCTCTTTTCCTCCACTTATGGGTTAAATAGCAGTACAGATTGCGTCGTATAATCCTTTTATTGGCAACCATGCTAGAGATGGTGGAATCGTTAAAATCTACCATATAAGAGCAAGTCTCGTGGGGAAACAGGAAACGCTCAATGACTAAAATCCTTCAACCGCTTATTCTACGGCAGACAGTGAAAGTGTTTTCTAAGCCATCTTTTATACAGAGAGCATATAAAACGCAAAACCATAAACGTATGCACCAACAAAATCTTCTCCATGTGCCCTTAAGGACAGGACCCAAAGTGTTGTGAGGTCAATACCTGGTTAAGGCAGTGGAGAACATAGAGAGGTTAATTAACAGGAGATAACTGATAACTGACATTCATTAGACATGGCACGTGGAACTAGAACAGTCTACCCCAGCGAGTGAAATAAAGGGTTCAGTTCGACATTCCAACCACCTGAAGAAGGCTGGAGCGTACAACGGCCGAAACGTTGTGATAAATATGGCAACAAAGATGAGGACGATAGTCCGGACAATGTAAATAGTATACATGATACCTCATCTCAGACATATAGAAAGATTTAAAAAAATATATGTAACAGTTCCCCAATCTTTGGTCCATACAGACCATGGCTCATATAAATTAACATAAATTTTCACAGGTAGTAGCAGCGAGTCGCCGCTTAAAAAAACTCTAAATCTAGCAACGAAAGAGGAAACCTTGCAAAAATTATTTTGAAGAGTGCTCATTCTTTAGGTGGGAGAATTTTATTTGCTCGCTGACTTGGACCCCCCCACTCCGGTGCTCACCATGAAGCACTGGGTTCGTAAAAAGGTATTCTTACTTCGCAGACACAACACCACAGGAATTTTTTTCCGTTTCTCAGTACTTAGTCTTTGGATTTCGGTGTCGCATATTCTACTGTCTGTTAAATATGAGTTAACTAGTAGAATTTTTGTCTGGAAAATTAATTGTCACCCATTTTCAAGGATTAAATATTTAACAGTTAAAATATTTGATCCTTGAAAATGGATAAATGTATAGCCGAAAGCGCTCGGATAAAAAGAACATTCCGAAAAGAAAAAAAATAGATCGCATGAGAAATTGTATAAAAAAACTAAATAAAAGCACCTTGTCTATCTTATTCAATGAAATGTGCATGAAAAAGGATTGCTGCCTATATACAAATATATATATATATATATATATATATATATATATATATATATATATATATATATATATATATAACTATATATGATTGGTATATACGGAATGAATTCCAATAACCAACAAATACTGTTCTTAAAAGAGTGCTCAATACAAAGTAGAGCAGATATAATTATTTATTTAAAAAAATTTATAACATAAATATGTTATAAAATCACTACAAAAATAGCCATTTTGTTTCAACACTCTCAGTGTCTTATCAAGTGATGATGTTGAATGTAAAATAAATGGTTTTAAAAGTTTCGAATTAATTAACAATCCTTCACAAGGGGAAAACGTTTGTTACAAAGCTAGATGGACCAATCAAAATACAAGTATAGGAAAATTCAAAAAGCTTGACAACGAAGTCATGTTATAATAGCTATTCAAATATTTAAAATATGGGTAGTATTAAAAAAGAATTTATTCTAATCAATAATTACTAGATTATATGATAAAGTTTAATATTAAAATTAAAAACTGCTAATTTCAAGATCAAAATTTAATCGCTATTAAGTTTACTGAGGAGAAAAGAAGAAATATATATGTTATTCAATTTATTTCTTCATTGAAGTTACTTTAGCTAATTTTATATCCGCGCCAGGAAATTTTTCTCCCCGGAATCGACCCTTTAGATCTACAAATCAACAATTCGCCTTTGCATGGAGTATTGCTGCCATATATGGTCTGGAGTCCCTTCTGTTTGCCTCGGGGTTCTTGATAAGATCCAGAGGCGGATATGCAATATAATTGGCCCTGTTCTGGCATCTCGTCTACAGTCGCTCTCTCATAGACGCGTCGTCGCCTCTGTCTGTCTTTTTTACAAATACTTTCATGGTAATTGCTCCGAGGAGCTGCATTCGATGGTTCCCAGACTTCATGAATTCAAGCGCCCTACGAGGCTGGCATCCCACTCTCACCCTTTCACTGTTGAAACTATTAAATGTAACCGTCTCTTCTACTCCAATAGCTTCATACCTTGTTACTCTCGCCTGTGGAACACCCTTCCCAATTACTGTTTCTCTGAGAGCTATAATCTCCAACTATTCAAATGTAATGTCAATCGACATCTCCAGTTGCCTTGATCTATCCACTATTCTTCTCCTCATCCTCATTTCCTCTATCATTCCTATCTGATCTTGCTCTAAATCTTCTGTAATCCCGCCTTGCTTGGGGTGAAAAAAACTCATTTTTTTAAAAATGCTATAATTTATTCAATTCCGTGCTCGAGAGTCATTCAAGGTAGAGGAACACTGTCGAATTATGAATGGAGCGTGTGGTAGGAATCAAAGTGGAAGTGGAAAGAAGAGAAGATTATGATTATGAGGATAAAGGGGACAGATAACGATGGAACCTTGACTTGAAAAAGTCAAAAGTGGGAGGTTCTGGAAAATAGGAACACCGGTATCTGTACTATTGTTATAGTGGAACACACCTATTCTATTGTTAATAGACACTCCCACCTATAATAAGTAGGAGTAGTAGGAGTCGCTCAGGGAGTTGGTCAGTGAATCGATGTCGGACGACCGTTAGTCGTATATTAAAGTATCAGCGACCACAACTAGATTTCTCTGCGTCATTACCTATTATATCAAATTCGTAACGTTTTGTACGTCGAACCTATTTTAGGACCGACTTAGTGAAATACAAGCCTCCACTGTGAAACCACTCTACAACAACTATACAGTAGCAGCTTCCGCGGAACTTTCTCATTATCTTTGAAAGATGTTGGAAATGAGGGTGTTTGCCTCTTTAGAAGTAACATATCATATCCTAGCTGGAACTAGAGAATGGTGCGCTCATCTGAACAATTACCATGGAAATAACGTCGCTGGGTGAAAGTAACTGCAGATGAAGAATAAGTCACCCCATTCACAAGACATACGTAATAATATAAATGGCGCAGCCACTCGTATCCAAAGATGCCAGTCTACCAGGGTGGCTAGCTAATCCCCATTGCAGCCGTCTGTTCAGGCACAATCGTTTTTGTTTAACATACTGCAACTATGCTGTAACCTTTGTTACAGTTTCCCGGAGAGAACGCGAGTGATCAAGAGTTTGAACAAGGCTAGCAGGGCTAGCTCGGTGCGACTTCATGTTAGCACAACCAGGGTTTCTTCTACACAGTTTTACTTATAAGGTTGGGGTTAATACGTGGTATGGTTCTCATGCATTTTCCAACGGTGCCGCACGCTGGGATCAAAAAGTCGCCTTCCTGACAAAGATGAGATTCGAATCCGGATCTCATAGTCAAAAAATGCAAATCTTCTAACCACACAGCCACATCCCCATACATACATACACAAAGCCTTACGCTCATATCCATAGACGCACACATATACAGACACAGATTTATACATACACATACACATAAACAATGGTGTACGCACATATACAAATGTAAACACACACAAAACAAAACAAATACATACTCACCAACACAGTCACATATATGCCAAGTCCGACAAAGATACTCCAAAACAAACACACCTACAGAAACGGAGTGATTTGTTTTTTTACAGTTTATCAACCTTTTGATTTAAAGCCAGAAAATATTTTTAGAATGTAAGAATATTTTTTTTGAGTTAATAATGATTTTCTGATACAAGTTCTACTAAATAACCCATAGCTGAACGGAGAAAAGAATGTATTTGCGCGCAAGTGAATACTACGAACTCGACTGGAATTGGAACTCGGCTCTCCGATTTCCAAACTCAGAGCCGTTATCCATTACACCACACACACATCCTAGCCTACAGCACCAGGTATCCCTAAGCGGTCATCCATCTAGATACTAACCAGGTTCGACGTTGCTTAACTTCGGTGATCGTACGGGAACCAATGTTTCACCGTGATATTGCCGTATACAAAATTCAATAAAATATACAGACAGATAGAAACACGCACGTTTACAAACGCGTGTACAGGGGTCTGGTAGAAAAGCAACAAAATACGTCCCCCGTGTATAAGGATTATAAAAACAGACATTCAGACAATTTTTTTGTCAACGGGAAATTTTGAGAGGATAGCAAACATCGAAGAAATTTCATTGTCTCATGTCTATCCAAGGACTGTTGCAGTGTGAAGATAGTATTTCGAATTGTAAGTGCTCCACTGAGAGATGTCTTACCATTCGTTGCTGTGGAGATAATGGTGCCTACACAAAATTAAATATTAAATCGCATGTCTATAAACGAAATGCCGAAAAGAATATATATATATATATATATATATATATATATATATATATATATATATATATATAATTATTTATTTAAAAATATGATTCCAACACGCTACATAAGAGTTCTCATGTTTCAAAACAAGAGCCGAAAACTTCAATATAATTATTTGAATTAAATTGAAGTATAGTACTAAACTCTGTTCCATCTTGAAGGAAATGTTTTTGGGATAACTTATTTCTGAAATTTACGCGTTTTTATAAGTTTATAAAACGCGTAAATTTCTAGAAATATGTTATTCCAAAAAAATTCGCGTTTTATAAGTCTTCTCAGCATAGTTGCAGTATAAGCCACAGGTTGGTTCTGCGTGTGTTGAACAAACACAAATGTTCCTGAGCGAGAGTCTGCAATAGGGATTGTCTAGCCGCCCTAGTAGACAAGTATCTTCGAATACAAGTGGCCAGCTATGATATATATATATATATATATATATATATATATATATATATATATATGATAAAAATATAGTTTTAAAGTGTGCTATATTTATGGGTTTTTATGTCCCTCTTACAGACATCTCTGTAGCAAAACTGAATGCGGCCGTCGTCTTTTGCCGTTTGCAAGTTTGTATCTTTTTGGGATTTTGGTTATTCTCCATACGACGAATATGACCCAGACATCGGACCCTACGCTGTCGGAGCAGAGTAAACATGGTTATTAGGCCGATGCGAAACAGAACTTCAGTATTGGCCACTTTCTCCTTTCACGATATGCCCACGACGGGGAGGATACACCTCAAGTGAAAAAGAATTCCGTCTCTTCTCCTGTTTGACATATGTCGTCCATATCTCGCTCCCCTAGAGAAGTGTGCTTATGACGCAGGAACTGTAGACTGCTATCTTTGTCCTGGCAGAGAGGTTGGAGTTCTCCCACACTTGTGTGGTGAAGTGAGCGAAAGTAGTTGCTGCATTTCCGATCCTCTTGTCTATTTCTGTGAATTTCCAGATCGTAGTCGTCAATGGTAATGATTGGAGGCACATCTACATCCTGTCGTAGGATATTTGTTTTTTTTTCTGGTTGATAGTCAGGCTAAAGTCCCTAGAGGCCTCAGAGAAGCGATTCATCAGAGTCTGGAGCTCAACTTTTGTGTGGGTTGCGACTGCTGCATCATCCGCAAACATCATGCCTCTGATCAGGGCTTCTCGTAGGTTTTGAAATTGAGGCGTACGAGGTTAAACAGCCCGCCTTCCGATCTGGTGTGAAAGTAGAATCACTCTGTCGTCGTGTCGAAGGCATGCGCCAAGTGCGAGGCGAAGGGGATTCCAAAGAGTGATGGGCCACAGACGCAGCCTTGTTTGACGTTGCTGTGTATATCAAACGATTCCACAATGCTTCCGTCATACTCTACTGTCTCTTTCATGTGGCTGTGGAAAGCTTCACCCTTAGAGATGTCTGTAAGTGGGACATGATGGCTCTTGAGATCATCAGCGACCACGGGGGTGACCTTGCTGCTGAACGTTCTGGGTGGAGAAGTACCCTGACTAAACAACTAATATCAAGAATTGAGTTTACATTAACAGAAATGTGTGTAAGACAAGGATGTCGCTAACTCAATTCATCGATCCATCGCTAAAGATGCTGGAAAAAATCGTCGGTATTTGTACCTTTACCTTTACAAGTGCCAGATAAGACCTAAAATGGAGTATTGTCGCCACATAGGCAGGAGATACTCAGTAAGACAAGGATGTCGCTTCTCGCCAGATTTATTGGGCCTATACAGCGAGAAAATTCTTAGATCTACCAGGATTCATTATTGGCTGCCAGAATCTTAACAACATAAGATATGCAAATGACATAGTGTTGATAGCAGACGCGGAAACAAACTACAAAAACTCCTATAGAAGGTAGCGAAGGAAAGCGAAAAGAAAGGATATATATATATATATATATGTATATATATATATATATATATATATATATATATATATATATATATATATGTGTGTATGAGATAAAAATATAGTTTTAAGATACGCTACATCTATATTTACATATATTTTCAGAGAGAGAATTTTATTTATTAAACTTAGCTGTGTCACAAGGCACAAAGTATGAAGCAGCCAACGATGATCGAACTCACTAGTCAGTCATAATTAACGAGGCAATCTTTTGCTAACTATGATA